TATATTAAAGAATCTCAATTCAGACGTTTGGGAATCACTTCTCAAAGGAATGAAAGAATTGGAAACTCTTAAAGAAGAATAATATAATTTATTTTCATGTTTTGTGCCATTTTTGTAGAAATATTTTAGTTTTTAAAATATACTAACGATTCTATAAAAAGTTATCTATTATTTTATTGTATTCTTTCATTCATTATCATTAATGTAAAATTAATCATCAATTACTATTAATTCAGTCATATTTCACGCTTTTGTATCGCATTGTATCGATTGTATTAAAAATTACTTAATATTTTAATTGTTATTTAACGCTATAATCAAATGTTATAAAATAGCAACAAGTTTCTTAATATCAGGAGCTCTTAATATAAAAACATATTTATTATGTAAAATAATTTAAAGTCAGGCATTAATTTATACCATATATTTAGTTATTTGTCCAAATTTTGTAAAAAATAATACATTGTTTGATATTTTTGTTTAATAAAATATAGTATTATAACAACAATAGGATTAATGATTTGATTTAAGACTAATTTAAAATCAATGCTAAAACAATAGAAAAGATTGAATGGAAAGGTATTTCCGTGAAATTGTTTTCAAGGATTATAAAGAATTGATTTCATTTCATATTTAAAGCAAAGTATTCTTTATTAAAACAAATTAAACATTTTTACAATCATAAAATTTATTTATAATTTTTAATAAATTTTAAATAATGTCAAATTGTAAAGACTTTAACGGAAAAGTGGTTCTCATCACCGGTTAGTCTAACAATTAAGTGATTAAAAAAATATTTATTTGTTAGTATTTTAAAATATGAAATGTATTTAAGGCTCGAGTTCTGGAATCGGGAGAGAGATTGCACTGTATTTGTCGAGTTTGGGCGCACAGGTTGTCATCACTGGTAGAGACGAAGAAAGGGTCCAAATAGTGGCCGAGAAGTGTAGAGAATTGTCTCAACAGAAAGTGCTGGAAGTGGTGGCGGATGTGAACAGATATGATGACATCGAAAGACTCATCTACGAGACCATCGATGAGTTCGGGAAACTCGATGTTCTCGTCAATAGCGCCGG